TTGAGTTTGGAAGAACATAAAATACCGAAAATAAAGATGAACTTCCATGAAAGTTTAGGGGTCTGAGATCAGAATGGAAGAAGGGAAATTAAGAACATTCCTATATAAGAAATAGGAGGACGAGAAGGCCATTGATCTTTCAAACCTGTTCCACCATGCAGTATAATGTTGGCAGACCTACCACAATTCTAACCTACTGTCCTATCCACATATCTCTTAACTTAGATAGAATCCGAAAATCGTATCAGTTATTATCATGAATATACTCAAGGATGAGCTCAGCCTCTGAATTAAAGAATTTCAAAGATCTCCAGAGCTTTGAGTGAAGAAGTTTCTCCTCCTCTCAGTCCTGCATTACCAACCCCTTGCTCTTTGATTTTGGGCCCCTAGTTTAAGACTCTCCTGCTAAAGGAAACATCTTCCTAGCATCTATCCAATATATACCCTTAAGAATTTTATGTTTCAATAAGACAGAATTGCATTCTTTGAAATTCTGGGGAATATAGAACTAATCTATTCCATCTTTCATTGTAGAAAAGCTCCCTCATATCAGAAATTAGCCCCATGATCCTTTATTGAAATCCCTTCGAAGTTGATATATACTTCCTTATCTAAGGAGACCAAAATTGTGCAAATGTACTCCAAGCTTAGCCTCACAAAGTCCTGATAAAATTGAATTAAAACTTCATCAGTGATGTGTAACAATCCCTTGATAATAAAAGCTAACACACACAATTTACTTTCCTAATTGCTTTTTGCACCTCCACATTACATTCCTGAGATTATTGTAACAAGGATACTCGGGCCGTTCTGAATACCAAGATTTCTCGGTCTCTCAGAAGGAACTTCACCTTTTCTGTTTTCCCTTCCAAAGTTGATAGCTTCAGACTCTTTCCCATCTCTTCTCCCCATCCCCCCAATTATATTTCATTTGCCATGTTCTTGCTCAGTCACTTAACCCATCTTTTACCCTTTCCTGTCTCTTTGTACCCAACTAGAAAAATTGCATGCTTAGTGTGGAGTCATGCTTGTGGACTGAGTGGAGGTATTGTGCTAAGTGGTCAGCCAAACTGCGTATGATCTCCCATTGTAACTGCAGGCCTGTTGGTTCTAAGTAGCATTCTTCGCTTCAGTGAAGAGAAATCTCCATTTGCATTCATGGACAAGGGAATGCGTGTTGTTAAGGATTCACCAGAAAATGATCTCTTCTCCTGACAGAAAGTAAACTCATCAGAAATCATTGTCCCCTCAATATTATGGTCTCACTGGTCCTGAAAACTGAACTAATAATCCACATTGCACCCATCGTCAATCTGTTGATACATCAGTATGGCCCAAAATATTCCAGTATAAGCTTTTTAATGAGAGCTTGTGCTTTCATAGTGTATTCTCTCTTATTTTTGTAGTACTTAAGTTGTTTTCATTTTTAAATAAAATCCTGAAGAATTTGTTAAATAGTATTTCGTTTTGAAATAGCTGCTTGTTTGCAGGAAGCACAGGATGCTTGGTTCACTTATCAAAGTCTTTGACTTGTCAATTAAAAGTCATCGATTACAGCAACTGAAGAGGCAAAATAAACTGGCTATCTTCAAACTGGAGATGCTTTTTACTTCAGGGCAAAAACAGTTCTTTCTCCAGTTGGTTTCATGTGAAACATTTCCACCTCCCAAGCTGCTCAGTTACCTGGGAGCTGATCACATAGTTGTTGGTAGGCAGAATGTCGTCATCATGAATAACTGGTAACTACTGCACAGATCAGCTACTTGCACCAGTCAAAGCTGCATCTATACATACCTCTTGGCTCTAGCTCATCTGCAAACTAGGTTTTCATTGCTGCTTGAACAAGTAGCTGTGTAAACAGCACTTACAATGACTATCAGGTTATTTGTTTTTAAGGAATGCAGCAATCCCTTGGTTTTAAAAACAGTTCTTTTCCCATTTCAGTCGATAATCAAAAATGCAGAAAAATAAAATAAGGTGCAGTCTTTATAGCATAGATTGTGGCTTTTATTCATATAAATGGTGCAAAGCTAGACAGTACAATGTGAAATGTAATTTCACGCACAATTAGAGAAACTGTTGTGGTTGCATTCTGTATTGGATATCTGGTATTAAGTAGGGAATTGGTGTGCTCTAGCACTGAAGAGGATTTATGAAACTCAATAAATGGTAGATTGCTGGCTTTTATTTGAAAATACTCTGCTCCATGTTCAAGAGCGTTGGATGTCAGTAATTAATTGAAGCAATTCTACAGACAATCACATGCCAGCAAAGTACATGCGCAAATTGTTGCCTTGAGCCTGATGACTGTTGTTTGATGTTCTTACAAATTTTTTCCTGCAGGTGTACTTTTGTTGATTATATTAATTTGCAATACAGTATGTCACTGGATGCAGTTTGGGAAAAGATTAATTTTTAAAAATTTGTTGTCAGAATTCACTGTCAATAAGGTTTCAACGGAGCCCAGTAATTATTGCACAAAGTCGAGATACTCCTTATTTGATCATGTCATGTGAACTTTGGTAGTAGGGGCAGCATGTAGTGCCAATCCCTAATTGCCCTTGAGAACGTGATGAGAAGCTGCCATCTGGAACCACTGCACTCTGTGAGAATTAGGGACGCCCACAGTGCTGCTACAAAGGGAACTCTAAGCTTTTGATCCAGCAACAATGAAGGAACAGTGACACGCTGTCAAGTCAGGATCATGTGTGCCCTGGGGGGAGCCTGCAACTGCTTGTGTTCCTGTGCGTTTGCTGCCCTTGTCCTTCCAGGTAGTAGAATCGTAGGTTTTGAAGGAGGCTTGGTGTGTTGCTGCAGTTAGCTTGTATGCTGCATAGTAAATACTACTGCCACTTTGTGTTGGTGGGGGGAGTGATGGTTTAAGGTGATAAATGGGGTGACACTCAAGCTGGCTGTTTTGTCCAGGATGGCGTCAAGCTTTTTGAGTGTTCTTTTGAGCTGCACTCGTTCAGGCAAGTGGGCAGTATTCCATCACATTCCTGACTTTTGTTGTTACAGATGGTGGCCAGGTTTTGGGGAGTCAGAAGGGGAATTATTGCTGCAGGATTCCTGGCTTCTGACTTGTTGCAGCAACAGTATTTTTGTGGCTGGTCAGTTCATTTTCTAGTCAACAGTAAGCCCCTCAGGATTCTGATAGTGGGAAATTCAGCAACAATGATGCCATAGAATGTCAAGGGACGATGGTTAAATTCTCTGTTCTCTATATAATAGACATTTGTATGCTGTGAATTATTAATTGTCACTCATCAGCCAAATCTTGATCTTGCTCAGGTCTTGCTGCATATGGGCACACACTGCTTCAGTATCTGAAGAGTTGCAGTTGGTGCTGAACGTAGTGCAATCATCAGCAATCATGCCCACTTCCAACCTTATGGTAAAGGGAAATTCATTAAAGGAGCAGCTGGAGATGGTTGTGCCTGGTTTTTGGAAGATTATGGATTAATTTGACCAAAGATTTCAAAATATTAAGGGAGCTGATAGGCTAGATTGAGAGAGGGATCTGCTGGTTGAGGAGGCATAGCACTCGGGGGCATAGTCTTGCATTAATTCTTAGACAAGTGAAAGTAGGAAACATTTTTATACAGAATGGATGGTAGAAATTTGAAATTCTTCCTCACTTGAAAATTGGTGCTAATTTAAAAGCAGATTTGTTACGGTTTTGTTATTTGAAGATATTAAGAGAACTGGAGCAAAGAGGTACATATAGAGTTAGTGCAAAGATTGGCTATGATCTCATGGGATGGTGGAATGAGGTTGAATGACTAAATAAACTACCTCATTTTCCTATGTTCCTGATGGATGTGTGAAATTTCCCAACTGTGGAAAATATCCAGCTGTTCAGTTGGCTTATCTGTGGTCATTCCAACTTGGATGTGCTGTAGAACTACAGTGAAGTGGTGGGCAAGTACCACTCTCCAAATGTGATTTCAAATCTTCCTCCTTGTAACACACAAAGCAACAAGTACATTATTCCATCCTGGTTTAGGGTTAGTTCCAGTTTCAAGCCTAGCAGATCTTTAAAACTTTTTGGGTATAAAGCTCAAACTCATTGTTTCCACTTCAAGTCTCTGCACTGACTTAGTTGATCTAGTTGGACAGATCACTTCTTACTGT